TAACAGGTTTTTGGAACATGAGGCAAACAGTCTGCATTCTGCCTAATAACGAGAAAACGTTTACATGGGGACTTTATTTGCACAAATTAAGTACAATTTATTCCTATTCCATTAATCCCAACAATCATTCAACATCATTGCCGTCCCCTCAATCACAACCACGTGATTTTTGGAGAGTGAAGTTACACAATTCACTCTTTTTGGTGGGATTTTGTGTGTGTGCGTGAGTTATTTGAAAGCCGGCATCGCCGCGCCATCCCGGAGACCCCTGGGGGCAAGCGGCTCCCACTTCCCCTCCAACCCCGCCTCCACAGGATAGACCCCAGACTGGGATCAGTCGGGAGCCCCCACGCCCCCCTACACACACACACACACACACACACACACACGCACACGTCCCATTCGGAAATACCTGAGGTGATCGGTTGCCATGGGGACGCACAAACAGCGCTCATTTTGAAAAGTTTGGCTCAAGGCGCCCCCGCCTCGGTGACGTTCAACTCGGAAATCAGAGCGATGACCGAAGTTGACTTTCAAGATGGCTCCCAGGCTTTAACAGCCAAAGGAAGTCCACGCACGGTACACATTCTCGGGCCAATCCATTTTTTAGGTGGGGGGGGGGGTAGTTTTTGAGCCTTAGCGTTTTTATTATTCTTATTACTATTATTATGATGATTATTATTATTATTAAACTAAGCTTAAAGGAATGCACTGAGCTTGGTTTTTATTCATTTGGGTCTTTATATAGTCAAATCTGAACTAAATTGAAATCATGATGATGATTTAGATTTTCTATTTCAAATCCATAAAAGACATTGATTTTAGTGAATTAAAACAATAGATTACATGTTATTAATTTGAGTCTTACATTTTTATTTAAGGTAATGAATTTGAAACGCTTATCCTCACAATATGTCCAAACTAATATAGTTTTGAAAAACAAAAGGTGACTGAGCAAAATACATTTGAAACTACAACTGCATTACCTTTAATTGGAATGAACTGAAAGAACATGAAACAAAAATGGATCTAAATAAGAAAGACATTAAATGTAATCAAAATAATTTCAATAATCCGAACATTAGAATATGTCAAAGTACATTCAAATAAACTTTTGAATAACATTTAAAATACAGACACCAATGCAGAATTAAAAACACTAGCTTTTAGTCTATATTTTAAAAATGTAAAATATGTAAAAAAATGAGCTCAATAAAAAAAGCAATTACTTATTAAAATGAATTTGAATGGAATTTGAACTTCAATTTCGAAGACAAGTCTACCTTTAAATTGATTTTAAATTAAAATCGTTCAAAATGAACATTGATTCAACCATTACAATTTTTATGGTAAATAAATTCCAAAAACAACTGAGTGTAGACAACACGTATCTCTCTCTCTCTCTCTCTCTCTCTCTCTCTCTCTCTCTCTCTCTCTCTCTCTCTATATATATATATATATATATATATATATGTATACATACGTCTCGAAATGCATTCAAATAGCTAAAAATATATTTAAATGAAATTACATTCAAATATATGTTATTCAATATGTATTTAAATAATGACCAAATATTTTAAGTTTGTATTCGAATAGTTGAACCATTGCTTGAAACAACCGAAAAGGGGGATTGAAGTGCAGAAGCGGGTCAAGTTGTGTACCTTGAAGGTCCGGAAGCAGTCCAGCGTGACTTGGTCGCCCTCTGGCGGTGTGGTGGTGACAGCAGCAACTGTCGCACAAGGCAGAAGGCAAATGCAGACACCCCCGCTCCATTGTGTGTGTGTGTGTGTGTGTGTGTGTGTGTGTGTGTGTGTGTGTGTGTGTGTGTGGTGAGGGGGAATCACGTTTGTTTCACTCAAGATCACTTTATATGGTTTGCATGAAGAAGTAGAACTTTTCAAAAGCACTGATGGACACATTATTTATTTATTTACATGTTTAACTTGTGGCCATTTATGAAAAGCTCCCCCTGCCCCCTTACGCTTTATTTACATTACCTGGAAGCCATTGGGGGGGAAAAAAACTGTACATTAAAAATGTTACAATAAAACAAGGCTGAAAAGCATCTTGATATAGAAAAAAAAGCACATTCAAATAAAACTGTTTTGTGTAACATGAATCCACAACGTTTTGTGAAAAAAACATCCAAACGTTCAAATCAATCTCAATGCTTGATTGAAATGGGCGACAGACAACAGGTCAGGATTTCAATGGAATGCTGCCCCTGCTGGTCGGGAGTGTAACAACAATCACTTGGACTGATTCGGAGGTTGTCTTTGTTGGTTGGCCAGAGAGTCTTGGCGACGGCTTTGCACCCACAGAGCGCTTGTTACTCGGGAAACGGTCACAAAGTCACGGAGGACCACATCGTCCGCTTTGCTCCACGGTCACTTTCAACTTTTCTCAGGAGGCCCACGCTGACACTTTGGGGGGAGTTTTGGTCAGCGTGTCAAAAAAGTAACATGACAATGGAACTAGGGAACCTTGTAGACCGCATGAACGGGTTTTCTGCTTTGACGTCAGGCACATCTTGCACGCTGAACCGAGTAAGCGGCAGCGGCATCTAGCGAACGGCATCTGCGTCTTTTGCAGCTTGCGTGTGCGACTAAGTCAGTCACACATGCACAATACAGCCAACTGCAAAAATGTTCTGCGTCCACCTTTGGTCCATTTTAATCACATACAGAAGGGCTGCAGGTGTCAAATATTTTAAGAATCGGTTATTCTATCATTATATCTATCATTTCACCGATTAATTGGATAATCGAGTAAGAACACTTTGCATTGAAGGTTACTGCGAAATCATTTTTTACCATCACTGGTAATTTAGCATGATTGTTGATTATTTGGTGAAAAGGTTGATCATGTTGCAACTGCAAAGCTCTTTTTGACATCGATTCAAAACTTTTTTTTTGGTGCCCATGAGTTGATTGCTTCAGTTCCTGGTTTGGTTTGTAACAGAAAATTGGCAAAAAGGTTGCTAGTTTTCCAACGGAAACATCGATGGTTGCAAATGACCCGTTTTAACGAAACTCCAAAGAGAATCTAAATCTGCTTTCGGGGAGGATGACAGAAATCGGAAATGTATTTCCTGTTGAGAGGCTGAAATCAGATTATTTGGACATTTAAGTCAATGATCAAAATAACTGTTGATTAATTTTGATATTGTAGATTAATCGATCCATTATAAAGTGTTGAAAACGTCTTGGTGTTTTTGTTTTCTTGAGCATGACACTTTTGGAGACGCGATGGTGCTGCCAGCCAACCAAAACTTTTCAAAGCAATGCAGGCGCTCTCGGAAGTCGCAGCCACAGTCAGGGAGTGCGGGGCGACTCACTCAAGTTACACGCAGGACCCTCAAGTGGGAGTTATGCGTTTGCAGAGGGGAAAAAAACAAAACACACTCATGTTGCCTCTCAACTTTCGTTGCGGTTTGTGCGTATCACTTAAGCAAGTCCATTTTTGCCTTTGACCCACTTCACGGGCCCAGAGCAAAAAACTTTCACTTCCTCAATGATTGACCAAAAATGTCCAAGAGGAAGCTGTCGAAATGTTAGGGGAGAAGACTGGGGGGATGTGGGCGTCACGCCGGATGGAATGGACGGTGATGACGCTGCCGCATGGCTAGCGTTAGCTTCTGAGGGCCGGGCTTCCGCTGTTGTCCGTCTCTTTGTTTTTGTCCTTCAGCAGCGACGAGAAGACCTGAAAGCAAAACGACAACAACAAAACGATTGACTCGTTACGACGGACAGTGGCGCCTTGAGGTACAAGTTCAATTTGTTCTGTGACCAGGCTCATAACTCAAAGGCTCCGTTCCCCGTGGAAAGGAGCAAAAATGTCCTGAACCTGATCCAGCAAAATAAACAATTTTTGCAATGTTTATTTGAATGAGAAAAAGCGAGTGCACTTTGTATTTCATGATCACCGATGAGACTGCAAAAGAATGAAAGTGTTTCTGTGTTGTTCACACTTGTGTTGCTCCTTCTGGTGGGCCCACCTTGGCCACCAAGAAAAGCTCATCAGCGCGGCACTAAGATTTGTTGTCAAAGAGTGAAAGCAGTGCAATATCATCGCATTTTTGGTGCACTCTGAATAACAGAACAGCAACCCTGAGCAATGCCCTCAAGAGTGCCTACGGTTGCAGTGAACCAGTACGCGCCCGGAGCATAGTTCCCAAGTCACCGGCAGATGCTATTTAGTGTTGACGTTAAGCTAGTGTGCTAAAAGGCACAGGGAAGCGACTCTCTTTGTTCGACATTTTGTATTCAAGTAAACTTGAGCTAGGAGTGGCCTGAAGGCTCTTTTTGGAAACGGTGGCTTACGATCTGAAAGAAAATCAACAACAATAAAATATCGACCAAATGATGGCTGCTATCTGGTACCCCCCCCAAAGTCGGGTCACTTTCACTTTTATCTTTGGGCGCCACTGCACTGTCTAATCAGAATCTTAATTGCATCTTTTTTCTTTTTTTGCGGACTTGCCGGTAGGCCAACCTGAGCCCAGCGGCGGCTCCTGCTGATCATGTGCGTGGCGGCCATGGCGGCGAAGAGCGCGTGCGCCTGAAGGTCTTCGGGCAGCCGGCTGAGGAACTGCGCCATGCGGATGAAGTCCATCTGCAGTAAGACATCCTGGAACAGGCGCAAAATACCCAAGCCGGTCCGGAACAGGCTCTCCTCGCCGTCGCGACAGAACACGTCCCACACGCGGCACGCAACGTCCAACGGGAGGGACTTGCTGTACAGCGTGAAGATCCTACCGCGCGCACACACAAACACTCAGGTTAAAGCCCCGCCTCCAAGAGCCGGACGGTGCCGCGCGATCGGCCGAGTCACCAGTCGATCAAGTAGAGGTCGGGCGTCAGCTTGTTGCTCCTGAAGTGGTTGAAGAGGCGCGGGAGGTTCTCCTCGAAGAACACCTCGAACACGGCGAAATACTTCAGCATCTGAAAAATCCCAAGCCACGTCAAGCACGCCCGCCTGCCTGCATGTGGTGTGCGCGCCAACGTACCAGGTCGTGGTCAACGCGGAAGAAGGCCATCTGGCACGGTTTGTTGAGCAAGTTGGCAAAGGTGACAAAGGCGTCGGCCTCCTCCAGGTTGAGGATGAGGACGGCGGCGATGAAGGACATTCCCTGAACCTGCGCAAACACCCAACGTGCACCACGCCTCAAAACACTCCCACAGTTTTTGTGACTGAAAGGCCATTTGATGCGTGAACGTAAAGTGCGGCGAGTGGGGAGGAGCCCCTTTGATCTTCCGTCCCCCCGCCTATTGCCCGAAGACGGCTAGGATAGGCTCCGATAGATGGAATGATCTGAACTGCCTGAGGATGGATTGGTCTGAATCAGCCCCAAAATGTAGAAAATGGAGGTCAATTAAGAAGAAAAAAAAAGGGGGGGCGGGGGGTTCTACATTTTACTTTCAAACTTTGAAAAAGAAAACCAGAGTGCATGCGTGTGTGTGTGTGTGTGTGTGTGTGTGTGAGACCTACATATCCGATGTCGGGTCGGTAGCACGTGTACGCTCCCAAGACGCTGTGAAGGACGTCGTGGTAGGGACCACCCTGCGTACACGCACACTGTGAGGAGGAGGAAGTGACAGCAAGCACTTCCTGTCAAGCGGCGGCGGCGCAGTCAAACCTTCTGGAATATGAAGAGCGAGGGGAAGGTTCTGGAGATGTCCAGCTTGATGAGGTCCAGACTGGACTCTCTGTCGGCGAGCGAGGCGCCGCCGTCTGGCAACGCAAGCACACGGTTCAAAGGTCAGCATCCCGTGGAGGGGGGCGGGCGGAGTTGGCGGCGGGGCGCGACGCACCGCTCTCGCTGTCGTTGTTGACTGAGCTGGTCTCGCTGTAGCTCCTCCATTTCTCTTTGGCGCGACACAGGAAGATGTCATACAGCTCTGCGGGAACACGACACGACACTCAGCGCTCTCTTCGGGTTTGGGGCGGGATAGCGAGATAGCTAGCCTGATAAAATACATCATTTAAAAAAGGGGCGGGATATGCAGACGTGGCATATCCCGCCCCCAAACACTCTGCCGCTTTGCGATTGGGGTGCGTCTCGGTGCAAATCGGCGGTGTGGGGACAAGACGGATTCGCTGGGCTTGGTGAGCTCATAAATAACGGCGAGAACTCATCTGGCGTACGCACCCGCTGTGATGTTGAGCTCGTTTCCGATGGCGAGGCTCCACACGCGCCCTCTCACGCTGGGAGGAAGGCCTTGCCACCACAACTCCCTCACACGACGCGTGGCCTTCCTAGACGGGCACAAACGCACACGCCGGTCAAGACGCTCATCGGCATTGCGCCTCAACAACACACAAAGGCAGCTGCTATTGCAGGAGAAGTGTCCGTGGTTTTTGTCTTTGTTGATTGAAAAGCTTTCCGGGCGAAGCGAGCGGCACGCTTGAGCGGGATGCGTCGCATTACAATGCAAAACCGTTTCCCTTTTTGTAAATTCCTCACGTTCCCTTTTGTGGTGAGGCAGCACGTCATCTCCGTCCAGAAGGCGGCGACGTAGAGCTCAACATCCACGTTGGCCTGTGCATTTGAGGCATTTCATTTTCCCCTTAGCAGCCGGATCTTGCAAAACCGATGACTGCGAGACGGTAGCGACGTGCGCTAGGCGGATGGTTGTTTTCAAACCGCTTTCAAGGTGACGCCTTCCGAGTTTTCACGACACAATACTTAGTGTGAGCTCTTGTTAATCTTACAACGGATAAATGACCTGCAATTAAAATATATATTTTTTAAAAACTTAAAACACACACACACACACACACACACACACACACACACACGTATCCACCCACATGGCGTCCCAGTTGGGTAGGATGTGCGTGTTCCAGACAACCATGGCGTTGGAGATGCTGTCCTCGTGTCGATGTCGCTCCTTCATCTGACGCTTCTTCTTCTGGGCGTCCTTTAACTCTGTTGCACGGGTGCACGCACACACAGACACACACACAAAATCAGCATTTGCTTCCGTCCCACCCATTTATTTTAATGCGATGGTCTTTCTAAAGACCATTTTGTTTCTTCTTTTTCAAAGAGTGTCAACGCGTGCATTACCTCTCCTCTTGGCCCCAGCCACCATCTCCTCGTACTCGAGTTTGTGTCTTTGTGTTTCCTCCTCAGATTTGGCAGGAAGGTTCCTAAGGAGCCAATCACGAGGAGGCGCGCTCGTCAGCGGACACGTGCCAATCATGACATACGCAGACGACACAATCTCGCAACAAATCAGGAATACCAAAGTGCGTACCACTCCATACGATTAAAGCGCCAATTCCAGTGCGGCTGGAACGTTGTGGGTTAAGCGTAAATAAAAACAGACTGCAATTTCCCGCTGCAGGGGAAAATCCTGCTACCAGCGGTCAGGACTAATATGACTTCTGCTCGCACTAACACCGCTGCTACTACTAAATCCTGACGCTGCAACTAGTACTTGCACCAGAGGTACTGACGGCGGGCGGTCCTCCAAGATGAGCGCTGTGGTGGAGAGGGGCTCGAAGTCCAGGTTCTTCCTCCGTCCCGCCGCTGGGGGGCGCTGAGGAGACACCTGTGCACAAACAAGACCATTGTGTAAGTCCACTGAAGCCCACAGTTCTTCTGGGACACCCTTCACCCATTTGCCATGACATCGACCAGTCCGACGTTTGTCTATATGCGCCTTGTCGTTGACCGGTGACCAGTACATTGTGTCTATATGAGCCCTGCGCTTGGCTGGTGCATGCCGCGCTTCCCGGCAGTCAGCTGACAAAGACTCCACAACTCCCCCAAACCCGCCCGCACGTGGACAAACGCTATATAAAACGTTTGAATGATCACGCTCGCGCTTGTCATCAAGATGAGGGGCGTCATGGGATCAGTGGTGCGCGTCCAACTCTTCCAGAAAAGGCTGCTGGCTTGGGAACCACACAGGCCAGACCACGTGACGACCGCACGATGAGGCCAGCCAATCACAGCACTCGTGACGCTCGCACCAACCTGCTCGGCGGAGCACGAGGCGCCGGGTCCTCCTCCGTCTTTGCCGGCATCCTCTCTGGGCTTGCCGAACAGTCGCCAACCTGGTGCATTGTGGGACGGCGGCGTGGATTCTTTGGCTCTCCGAGGGAACAGGCTCCTGCGGGTGGGGACGGGACAAGATCACAGTTGAAAGCGGCGCTCGGCCGCAAGAGGAAGGAAGTGCAGGACGATGGCGGGCAGGAAGTGTGACGTGACGCGAGGTGTTGCGACACGCCTCAGAGGGAACGCAAGATGCATTGTGGGCAGTGTACTCCTTCTCGGTGGATGACTGACACTGTATGTGTGTGTGTGTGTATACAGTAGTCCTATCATTACAACCAGTAATAATGTGTAATAATCAATTCTTCTGTAGATTTTTTTGTTAGATTACTCAATGAATCAGATAAAAAATAAGACAGTATTTCAAATGGATTGCGCAGAAAATGTAAAAGCAAACTTTCTGATTCAATCCCGGGTTTTGGCCGTAACATCTGTCAGGAAAAATCAGCAAAATTGGTGATTCTTAAGTAAAACAGGAGTTTGCGAGCTTTTGTCTTATTTTGAAAGTAAAGATGAGCTTGTAATTGTAAGCTCATTTCTGTCACCCCCCACAAAGGCAAACTTGCATCCCCGTGAATTGATGACATTTGCAAACATCAGCTTTTGCTTTGGAAATCACCAATCAAAATTTGTTCCAGAGCAAAGCAGTCGCTAAAGCATCCACTTACGTTTTCTGCACTGTCAATTTGAAATAACGTTATGCTTTTTTGGTTTGTTTCACTAAAGGGTTGAAAAATTAAACATCTATTTTTCTGATTATTGGATTATTAAATAATCGTTGGAATGAATTGGGGGGCCTGGAGGGCGTTTAGCGGCGCTCCTGTACGTCTCATCAAGGGAAGTTATTGCACCGTGTTGACAAATCCCTCCTCGCATTGTGTCGATTCAAGTACTGTATTGTACCTGGTGAAGAAGTGAACAATTCCGAACCTCGTGGGGGCGAGAGCGCTCTCGTCGCAGTTCGCCTGCGCTCGCAGGTCCTGTTCGGGTGCACTCTGGCGTCGGCCCGCTTCTAAAACTCCCCGAAAGTCGCCGCAGTGCTCCCCGAAGCAGAAGCTCGCCTCGTCGAGGGGCGACAGCGGGGTGGCGTCGCAGCTGAGCGACATGCTAAGGTTCGCTTCGGTCCTCAAAGTTTGAGGCCTGACGACCCAAGCGGGTCCGGCAAGGTCCTCCTCGTCTTCCTCGGAGGGCGAGTTGTCGTCGCTCAGTTCGGAGGAGGCTGACGGCTCTGGCGAGGGGGGTCCGGCGGCGCTTGAGGCCGACTCGTAGAGTTGCGCGGAGACGGGCCGGTCACTGCGGTCGTCTCGGACCTCGGTGGCGGCATGACAGTCCCCGTTGACGACCGCCTGCGGCCGGTCCGAGGCGCAACCGTCAGCACGCCCATTGGGCATGACGCCTGCTTGCGGTTGCGAGCATGGACACGTCCCCGGTGCTTTTCCCGAACATGGCTGCCCGACCGAACCCGTCGAGTCGATTGACACTCGAGCCCCGAGCGCAGCTGGACAAGAAGCGGGAAGGCCGGTTCCTCTTTTTCCTCGTCTACCCGCCGACTCATTTTCCGCCTCCTCCTCCTCACACTGTGACTCGGTGCTTCCGTTCAGGCCGCGGGGGTCCCGGAGGCAGCGCTGCGCCAAGTCCAGCATCCCGCCAGCTTCGTCACCTACTTGCCGCGTCACCGGACGTTTGAGCGCCGTCGCCGCTCGTCTGACGCCGCCACCTTCCTCCTCGTTGTCGTTCACGTCGACGACCACCGAGCCCGCGAGCTCCATGAGCGCCGCCATGAGCCTTAGGCCCGCCGGCCGGCTCGAGTCTCGAACCGCCCAGCCCGCCCCGTCGGCCCAAAACCGCAGCGGGAGGAGGTTAGCATCTTAGCCGCATCTTAGCCGCATGCCCAGGAGGTCGGAGAGGTTGGCCCGGGGGGCAGCTGGGGGACTAGCTGACGCTTTACGGGCCTGACGCGCTCATTTGCGGCAACACAACATCCTCCCCAGGGGCGAGTCGGCGTCGGCTTGCGGACAAAAGAGCTCAAATGCGCTAAATGTAGCCTGTTGTCGTTTTTTCATCTGTCGGCGGCGGCATTCCAGCAACATTCCGGCGCCATCTTGAAATACTCTCGCAATGACGTCATTGTTGACCTACTCCCTGCTTTCATTCAGTAGCGACACACGGTGGCCATAATTGGAACAGCACAAGCAATCCCTCACCGAAAGCTAAATCTGGCCTGTGCTACCTATTGGTTAAATGCACGTCACGTGATTGACACAAATTAAAAACAATAAAATAAGTAATAGCGTTCACGTTGACATCTATGTAGACATCTATGTACTCGGGTCACCATATTCATTTTCACCTTTTTGAAAAGGTTAGAAAGGAAGCATACCTTAGAGCAAAATCAAGTCGAAAAGAGCGCATTTAAATCAGGTCAACCAGTTGAAACACGACTAAGCCATTTTGACCAATTTTCATCAAAAATATCAATTTTTCATCTCAGGTTAAATGTGATTCTCTCCATAATGCACATACTGTAAACAACATGAATTCAGTCAATGGTAGGCACCTATCTTTTCAAACATCTTCGTACCAGTACCGATCTCAGACAAAGCTCTTGCCGGGACTACAAATTGTCAAAGTCGATGACTTTGACAATCATCCATCGTGGCAACAAAATCATGGCAAACAGATTGAAAGGTGATTGTAAATGGCTTCGGGGCGCGGCACATCCTAAATTGATGACAGTTTACCCAAGTAAAAAAGTAATAATCACGCTAATGACGGAGAGGCCTCGAAAAGTCAAGAATCATATGTGATATGTTTTAAATTATGGAAAAAAACGACATGCATCCTTTCAGTCATCCTCATGTGACTTGACATTATTTTCTTGTAATTAGTTACACTTTCTACATTATTTTGTAGACGGAAGAAGCACTTCATGTTGATTTGAAGGCATCCCTTCATCTGTTCCTTTTTTAACATCACTGAAGAAAAGAAAAAAACTATTCATGAAAAAAATAGACCATTTATAAACATCTGTACACGTGAATAAAAATAATTAGCACCACTCAAACAGGTTTCATCGTGAAACAATCTGAGAAGGCATTGCAAAAAAATAATTTAAAATGCTCTTTTGCAATTTTGGGTGGTACGATCCGCATCTTTCCCCGCTTGTGACGCCCACTTGGAGGCAAGGCCACCGGCCAGCCTGAGGTCCCATGGACTGTCGGATGCGCCGCTCCACCTTGAAAATGGCCCCAGTGACTTCTTTTGACACTTGCTTGTCATTTCTCACTCGTCATCTTGGTAGAGGAGTGGCTGGGGAACAGGAGCGGGCCAAGAAACGTGCGGCAAATAACGACAGCGTCAAATGACCGATCACTCGCCAAACAGGCACATTTTCAACTACTCAAGTCAACTAAATTCTCTCCAAGTCTGGTCCTCGTGAGACCCTATCTAGCCCCGGCCCGTTTCAGACGTTACCTTGCTCCAACGCAGCTGATTCAAAGGATCATCAGCTCATCATCAGCAAGCTTTGCGCAAGTCACAGAGGGAACGTGATCATTTGATTCCGGGGTGTTGGAGCAAGGGGGACATCGAAATCAGGCTGGGGAGAGGGGCTCATGAGGACCAGATACGGAGAAAACCGGCCATTGAGTAAGAGGCTTGAAGACCCCCGCCGGTGTGTTTTCAAGAACATTTGCCATTTTACTCCATTTTCAGCCACTTCATATGCGACTGCGCGTGCGTCACCTTGCTCTCCAGAACTCGTCTGCGGGCGGGAAGGAGCTGCTCCAGGGTGTGCGCCGGCGGCGCGTTGAGGGTCTCGGGCAGCAGGAGCACCAAAGCGCCGGCAGAGAGGCCGCTCAAACAGAAAACCCCGAACGGAACGGCTGTGGCCAACGCGCGCTGCGAGATGCGCAGCATCGTGGGAGGTACAACCAGACAGACAGACAGTTCATGAGTCCCGTGAGAAGGTCACAGCACTAATATTCACCATATTCATCATACATTTGGCACCAAAGAAGGAAGAAAAGAACAAACTGGATAAAAAAATCAATCAAATCAATTCAAATGGTGAGTCGAGGAAGGAAGGGAAGGCACTCACTCACTCACTCACTCACCATGGAAGGAACAAAGGGGGCGAGAATCCCTCCCACTCTGCAGGACATGGCGCAAACTCCCAGGCCGGCGTTCCTGAAAGCGGCCAAACGAGACTCAGGCGATTGCGCCCGCACGCGGGTGCTTGACGCCCGGGTGGCTGCGCCTGCGCTCACCTGACCACGGTGGGGTACAGCTCTGACGTGTACACGTAGACGATGTTGAACGCTGCGCTCACCGTCAGCTTTCCCAACAGCGCCAAGGAGGTCGAGCCCAGTGACGACTCTACACGCAAAAGCAGATCAATGGCTGGGTTTGCAATCCATGCATGCGGCGCCATCTCACACGCTAACCCAACAAAATAAAACTTGTTGAGATAAAAGAGCAGTTAACCCCTCCCTTGTTTTTAAAAAAAATAATTTTCTTATCTATTAATATGATGACATTGATTTATTTTCTCATCTCCCTAATTTTGCTTCTGTATTTTAGGAATGTTTTTTTCCCCCACGGGTTTGTATGAAGATGTGGATGTCAGTACGCCCACTTACGCATGTTTCCCCCCGCCCCCCAATTCCACCAGACATTTGGATGGGATCCAGTTAAAGATGAGCGCATGTTTCCGGCCACGCCTACTTTGCCCTCTCCTTGCGAGCGCATCTCACCTGTGTCCTCCGGGATGAAGATGGTGCAGAGGCAGGCACACGCAGCCAAACACAAGAAACCCGACAAACTCTTCCTCCGCCCAGCCCTGAAACACACAGTCACACGTTCAGGATTTTTTTTTTCCCCCCAAAGACGCGTCTGTATGGCACGCTTTGCTCAAACTACACCAAGGATCAACCATGATAGACACCTTCCTAAAGTATATTCCTTGTCATGGTGACAATGGCCCACCTGTCTCGCGCAAACTGGCAGCGGGACTCCCTCTAGCGCTAAGTGACAGGATCGCTAAGTATGGGACACTACAGTCGTGGTCCTCAACCGGTTGAGACAAGTACATGCTGTTCGTGGACCGGCAACCATTTTTTTTTCGTTTGCCAGTTTTAATGCACTGGTACTGACAACGAGTTAATTATAGAGTCATTAAACATTTGATTAAAATAGATTTTTTTTTTGTCCCCCATGCACAACAGTGACTTTGATGCTCATCATTTTTCCAACAATCATTTTGTGCTATAAAATACCAGCAACAATGAAAATGTGCTTTTGATTGCAAAATACCAGTAATGAATTAACAAACTAGTGTAACAATTTTGTGGCTTTCCCCCTTGAACTTTTTGACCTTTTGCCACATCTCAAGCTTCAAACAAAGATATAAAAGTGGATTTTTTTTTTTTTTGTCTGAAGAATCATCACCTAGTGGGACACAATCCTCAAGGGGAACAAAATTCATACAGTATTTGAAACTTTTGTTTTTTGTTTGTTTTTAAGAAAAAAAATTCAAATGGGGTGGGCAAAATTATTCTATTTTCCTGTCATTGCAGCCAACTCACTCCAGACGTTCTCTGAGGATCTCTGATTTAGCCGACGTTGACCTAAATGACTGATGATGATAAAAATGTGTGTGTGTGCGTGTGCGTGTGTGCGTGTGTGTGTGTGTGTGTGTGTGTGTGTGTGTGTGTGTGTGTGTGTCTCACCAGGGTTGGTTCATAAAGTAGACGCAGAGCGGGTAGGCGGGCAGCTCTACGAGGCCATACATGGCCACATTCAGGTAACGATTTCCGGACATGTCACCAGCGCCCAGCGTCAGGCCGTAGTACACTAGACTGCACACGTACCTGGAGAGACACACGCATACACATACGCACACACACACGCAGACCAAGTAAATTTTTTATTGAACTGATAAGGTGATGTTGCATCTTTCTGCTGCCTGTGTAGGGTCGCCATGGCTACGCGAGGTCAAGAGACGATCCTCACCAGATATACATGAGCAGGAGCGTCCTAAGGCGAAGGAGAGGATGGGAAGCCAACTGCAAGATGCCCAGCCTGCCACCGTCGCTGTCATCGTGGCCGTCCGCCGGCCTCAGACTCAACTTGTGCGCGGGGCGACCGTTCATCAGCGCCATGAAGCGCATCACCTCCAATCGCACACACAATTTGCCAGTTAAGCTCACAGTGATCCAATCAATAAAGTACCACATTGAGCAAATTGAGAGCAGAAATGCAACACGACTCACCCCCGACACACACACACACACACACACACACACACACACACACACACACACACACACACACACACACACACACACACAAAAGCAGCTTTTCCACCCCAGTACGAAAATTGCAAATAAGGATCCTGGACATTGCTTCCACTGACCTCCTGCGCTCGCTCGGTGCGACGACGACAGTAGAGCCAGCGAGGAGACTCCGGAAGCATTCTGGCGACACGGGAGACGGCCACGCCGAAGAAAAAGGTCAGCCGTCGCCTTGCCAGCCGCGACCGAGTGGGCGCGGGCACTCACGCAGACAGCAGGAAGCAGAGGACCCCCCAAGTGTTGGCCGCCGCCGCCAGAGTCCTCCACGGCCTAATGGCGAAACCCAGAGCTGCAAAGAGGGCGATGCCCACCGCAAACGTCATGCTGGTCAGCGTCCCTGCCGGAGAGAAATGCAAAACAAACAACAAATAAAAAAAAAAATAGCATTCCGACACTTCCCTGTTGTCAAGTAGCCTTTTGTGCAAAAATGCATTCAATCATTCACTTCAACAGTCCACAAAAAAATATTTACAAAGGAATGAGTGACAGAAATGTCACTTTCACATCCAGTCTAAGTGAGAACAAGGAACTGCATACCAGTTATGGCCCAGTAGGACTTGCCCACGTACTCCTGTGTGAGGATGAAGCTGACCAAGCCGATAGCGCCGTTCATCAGGCCCACCAGGAGGCGCGACACGGCAAACACCTCGTAGCTGGGAGCCGCCGCCGTCACGTAACCTAGAAGCACCTCCAAGAACAGAGCTGCGCCCCAACACGCCACGCTCATCAAACCTTGCCATGGAAAACCGCGCCGTGTCGGGTTGTGTCGTGTCGCTGTGCATTGCATTGGCCTGCCGTGTCATGAGTTGGCGTTGTTGGGACATGATAAGCGTTGCAGTGTCATATCAAGGTTTCATGTGTTTCATGTCATGTCATCAGGCTATATTGTCATGTAACATGTTGTCAGGCCTCATTTTCCGCCATCATCTTGACATGTCATGTCATGGTGTGTCACACAGTTCATGTTATGTTATCCCGTTGGGCCTAATTTTTCCTGTCATGTTGACATGTCACATGCTCCCATGTCATTTGTGCATGTCATGGCAGGCCTTCCACGTTCTGTTGTCACGTGTCATTTTTGGGTCATGTTATTATGTCAAGATATGCTGTAGGTCACGTCATGCAGTTTTACTTGATACTGTCGGATCACGCCGTCACCCAGCGCGTCCAAATGTGAGCCCTCACCCGTCAGGTAGACGGGTCTCCTCCCGACGGCGTCAGAGAGCGGCCCGAAGATGAAGCTCCCGAGCAGGAGGCCGGCGAAGAAAAGCGATCCGGCTAAATTGACCTTGTAGGCCTGCTGCTTGACCAGGAGCCACTGAGGAGGACGAGGGGGCGGCACAAAAGGAAGAGCAGCGCTCACGGCATCCTGGCAGAGGTGCTGCCCGCACGCGAACGTTTTCTCACCTCGGTCACGATGGAGTCTACGTCCCCGAAAAACGTGACCGACGACTGGACGCCGTCGTGCTTCTCCACGTGGAACTCTGGAGATGCTCCCACCAAAACCACCAACATGGATTGGCACGCCATATACACCTGAAACACATGCGCAGACATGCAGCTCAAATGACATCATCTGCAGCATACGCCAGGTTGACGATCCCGAGTCGCTTAGAATGGACATCTTTTTACTACCTATTCCTATTGCTTTATTTTGTCCAGAACCGTTTTGCTTCTGTGTGTGTTGTCGATGGAATATGCGTGAATACACTTTTCCCTGTTGGGACATTTCAGACCAGGCGGCGTTCGTGGTGTACGTCATTAGACTGCGACTATATCCGACCAAGGAATACGTCACGAGTCCGAGCAGAAGCACCCAAATAAACAAAACGAGCACTGTAGGTTGAAAAAATAATTACAAACATGTTGTATGAAAGCCGAATTGAATAGTGATTCGGATATTGTGTGGAATCTATGTCAAAATCTGTTTTAACTTCATCCAAGAATCTCAACGGTCACAATAGGTTCTTTTCTAAAGCGAGTTTGGCACGAAGTGAACTCGCGACAACGGATGGCGTGTTTACCTGCAAAATAATCAAACATCTGCACAGGTCGTGTAGACATACAAACATATGTGTCGTCATACATGTGTCCAAAAATCTTTTCGACGCGCGCCACGTCACCACAAGAAGAGGACCACTCGGACTTGTTTGCGGATTTGGCTCAGGTTACGTGTATTTTGCTGTCGTTTGTACGCAAGTTAGACTGTTTGAAGGTGGGCAAGCCTCACCTGAGTCAGAGCCAGGACGGCTACGGCTCGTTTCTGGTAGGCGCCGAACTCGCCCACCACCTGAAAAGCCTCCTCCACATCCATCCCGACTGCCGACAGAGGGCAGCCGCAAAGATGACTAGCAAGAGCAACCACCACTAGCACTTCCGGCTTGGTTTTCAAGACGCCGCCATGTTGCAAAGCAAAGCATTTGTTATAAATTTAGTAATTGTTTTTGCGAAATGTCTCATCCACAAATTCAAATTTGGGTATTCAAAATTTTTTTTAGTTCAATATTAAACCAGACAATACAGGAATACCAACTTCTGTTCCTTAATTCTATAGACAAATAAATGGTTCAAACTGTTGTTTTTTTTTTTGCTCTTCGTTTATTTTTTTAATCTCATTAGTGTTTTTTTGTATTTTCGTAATGACGATACTGTTGCTTTGTTTTCTTGTGGCTTGCGTTTCTTTAATAGGTTGTAAAAAAAAAATTCAAATTGTTTTAATCACCTTTGTTTTAAAGAGCAATTTATACTAACATGTACGATGAACAGCACCTTTAATTGTTAGCAGCCATTTGTATGGAAGAAAAAACACTGCTACGCACAACTTATGAAGAAACTTTCATAAAAGCAATTTGAATAACGTACAATCTTCAGAAGAGCCTCTTGTATAATGAACAACTTGTTATGAACAGTAACATGAATCCTGAATAGCAGCTTCTTTTGAACAAGCTCAACGAAAAAAAAAAAATAAATACAAGCACTGCTGCAACACAATTGTGAGACACTAAAACGCCCTGGCACGTCATTGCCGGAGGCCCATGACCCCCCCCCACCCCCCCCATTACATTTCTCTAATTTTTCTAAACAAAAAAACACTGAAATTAAAGACAGATGTGCTGTTTGTTTCATTTACCACTCTGGGATTTAGGTCTCCTAATTCACATCAACATCACGGAAATCATTTTAAAAATGTGTTTTCTTTACAGTTCAGAAAATAAGTGCATTCTCTTGAGAAAGAAAAAAAAAACAGTTTGATCATAAAAACTCCATTGATGGCCCAGTCCTAGTACATGTCTACTTTTACCGCGATTTCAATCAATGGGTTTGATTTTTGTTGTCATGACAAAGTGATGGAGTCAATTTTGGAAACGGTTGATTTCAATATGACTTATTATGTTTAATTCTGCATTTGTATTATTGTGCGAGTGTTGTTGTGTGGAGGGGTTGTGAAACAGGAGAACCGTGCTCAACTCTGCATGGCCCCAAGGAGCCTACAGTTGACGATCAGATAAGAGGAAACCAACGGAGGCGACCCTTCTGCAATTCTCAAGATATGCTGAATTGACGCATTAAAAGTGTTTATCAGGGTTATGCATTTGCTGAGGATGCGCTAAAATATTAAATATCATTTGGAGAGAAAGCTAGTGTAGGCACATCTCATCCATTAACTCCACGCAGATCCAAGATTTTGGGTGTTCACATTCTCATATTTTTTTCCCTCCTTCATTTCGCCTGGAACAAAAGAAAAATGCTCATGCCAAATATATTAAGACATAAAGGGCATTGGGCAGATCCAAATTTGGATTTGGGGCCTTGGTGGAGGTTTGCACTCAAATGAATGCTTCACTTGAGAAGGCAATGCTTTGGCACGCGTGTGACGTCCATGTAACAGGGATGAATTGGAACAAACATTTGATCTCCCCCAAAACTTAAACTGAGCGAGCGTTGATTCACAAACAGAAGCATTAAATGCTCGATAAAAGCCAGTGTAGCTAAGCTGCTTTCACTTCAACTCAAAGTCGGATTATTTTCAACTTCATGCCAACTGATACTGGATTCAAACTGATTTCAAAACTGCATTTTCATTTGGACTTTTTGGGGGTCACAAGTGAACTAGGGTCATTGATTGCAGTTTAAATTTCTCTCTGTCCTAACTCAAGCTATGTACTAATGTTGCGTCTGTCAAATGATTTGAACCTACTAAATGATAATTTCACAAATAATCAGCAGCAATGAATGCTCTCCGTCTTCAGTTCGAATCAACAGTGCCGCTGCTGGCTGGAACCTGAAAAAAACGGACAAAACAAAAGGTATCAGATTTCAGAATCATATGTTCAAACAGGAAGTGATGCAAGCACAAGAGAAAATGTCCTGCTGTATTCTTGCAAAAACTTTTGGCTTTCAAAGTGGAACTAAACCTCAACTCAATCTGTCGATAGTGACATCCTCAAACATCTCTGAGGCGACTGAGCTTCGATTTCACGACCGGAGTAACAGTCAGCGTGTCACCTGGCAACCTCGCCGGTCAATTGTTGCTGTTCAGCGGTCGTGACGTTTCCAAGTTTGTTCCCCCCGTGGCTCCATTGGATGGTCTTAACGCCAAGCCTCTTTGACGCTTGCTGCAAAACCAGGCAGCCACCACCACACCGCACAAGGCCCCGAGCGTGCCCGAGACGACTCCCGCGATCCCGCCTGGTCCCAAGCCGCCCCCCGGTCGGTCCTGATAGAAGGGGTTGGCAAAGGCTTGGCTCTCCTTCCGGCCCAAGGGATTCTGCATGATGCAAAAGAAACTCTTGACCGCGGAAGTCTTTCGGTCGATGGTCCTGTTGCGTACTTCCGGCATTTCCGTTTCGGGTTCAGTTCTCCAAATGTACGTGACAGGCTCCGCGCCACTCGTGTCCCCGCCGCAGTGGAGCGTGCAAGTCTCCAAGTTTTCGGAGCACGCGAGCGGGGTCGGGTGCACTTCCGGTTCCGGCACGAACTTGATCACCTTGACCGCGAAGACTTCGTCCTGCATCACGTTGTTCAAAGACACCGTGAAGGTGCCCGCGTCCGTCGCGACCACGCCCACAAGCTCCAGCACTGCGTTGCTCACGTTCAAGGCGATTCGGTTGTCGTAGCGGGTCACTTCATTTCCGGCCCACTCGGCGAGAAGGTTGCGGTTCCGCTGCCATTCCACGCTCTCGACGGGGTCTTTAAACTTGGGCCGCAGAGTCAGCGTTTGGCCCTCGGCGACGTATACGTTCACGATCTCGCCGACGGCGGAGCCAATAAGTGACCACAAACAAAGACAAAATGACACCCGACGCTTCATGTTCCTTCGCAGATTGAAAACAAAAGGCAACTGGACTTTAAACGAGCCAACTCCGCGGACACTTCAAACCGGAACTGCGCCTTCGATTTAACGTGTCCGTGACGACGCCAGACTCCAGTGATCGTCCTTTGCAATTCTCTCTTGACGCAGGACTTCGCAGGTAAATTTAAATTAACACTTCAAATAACGTGGCCGATGTGCTACTTTGAGGCGCACACAAACAAAAGTAAAAATGCTTTATCAAATCCACGAACTTGCTGTAGGCCCCGTAGAAAGGACTTTCAACTACCCAAGATCGAGTAAAAAACAGCGGCACGCCTTGAACTCGTGTTTTCGTGTTTACTGGGCGACAAAAAAAATGACTCATGATCTTCCGGGAATTCAATGAGTCAACCGCCCAACAAGGAAACGAACTGGGCCTTTAGCGGTACGGCCATGTTATGCCCGATTCAAATTGCCGCCGTTGTTACTTTCTCTCGTTGACCGCAATTTCGCTCGTAAATTTACACAATTAGCACCCCAACTACTGTGTCCCATGCGCTTAGTTGAGGAACACAAATGGTCGTTGCTGGGTTTTTTTCATAACATTGTGTAATCTGGCGCGACGAGGGCAGCGCCTTCAAAACCGAAAGTAACCGCCACATTAACCAAATTAAATAAAACTAAATCACTAGTCCATTTATACCAGGACTTTGCAATTTCCGCGCATTCCCGGGGAAACACGTGTTAAGAAAAAAAAAAAAACACCACGGCTCAAAACGCCTCACTTTACATGGTAGTTTTTTTCCGGTTAAAAAAAACGCCTTACTAATACTATACAGAACATGATCGGGGGTTTTGGCTGTCAGCGGTTTACTTACATGGTCGTTCTTTTCGGCTAAAAACGCCTTACCTAACAAAAATTTTTTCGGTTAAGAACGCCTTCCTATACGTTTTTTTGGGGGGAGGGGGCTAAAACGCCTTACGATACATGGTTGTCTTTTTTTGGCTGTAAAAAAACGGCTTTCTATATTATACTGAATAAACCTATACCTGTCATTACAATAACATTCTAACAGGAGTAAAATAATCGCAATTCAGATAATGGGACCAATTTTCTCCATTGAAATGACCTGAAATGCAATGAAGTAAACCACCACTGCTTTTTGGTTATACCTTGACAGTAAAGAAAAAGAACACCTTTTTGTTTATAAATGAGCAAACGTCCCAAATCACCATAACCATGGTAGCGCTGTATTTGTCTGCATGATTCTGAGACTTCACAAAATGTGGAAACCTCCCCCCTGGGAGGCTGCCACATTCTACATAATTACTGTACAAACACTCTTCAGTTTTGTAATTACTTTTATTCATCGGAACAACTATTACTCATTTTATAATGAATAGCAGAATCACAAAACACAAGTTTAATATGACAGATTAAAACAGACACATTCATAAAAGACAGAACGTTAACTGGCAGCTAAAAACCAAAATGGGAACACTGTTGAGTTTAGTTCTGACAGCGCAGCGGGAGTCGGGACTTCTGTGGGGTGGGCCCGGCCTCACTGTCGCACACTTTGGGCCTGCTTGGGACCTTGCCCTCTTTCTTCCTGGCCTTCTTTTGCTGGAGCACATTCACATGAGAGCAAAACAGATTCACACATCGGTATGGGAAGCACCGTGCATACGCATGCGGCCCTACGCGTGCCATCACGATGGACATGTCTGTTGCAGTGGGCTCACCTTGAAGAACGGAAGGCGCTTGGCCTCGTTGAAGACCAGGTTCTCGTCAATGAAGGAGCCTTCGGTGGCCACGCTCTCGTTGCATGTGCTCAGCTCGTCCTCCAGGGAGCCCTGAAGAACGCAGTACGGGAACAAAACGCGCTAACCAGAGGTGGCCATTTACACCTCTCCCATCTTTGTTGGGCTGCACGTGTTTATGGCAGTGCCAAATTTCACTTTGCTCACATAGCTGCGTATCGGAAGCTGGCTTGCACAAACATTTTTAGCTTGCAACAAAGCAATAAAATAAATGTATACCCCCCCCCCCCACCAAGAAAGTTGCATATGGAAGAAAGACTTTATGATTAAGATTCCCGTCCCACCTGGCTGCTTTTGTCATCATCCTCGGACTCATGGTCACGCTCTTGCTCCTCGTCTTCGGTGGCGGCCTGCAGCTCGTCCTGTTGCCTCCTGAGATTCTCCAGCATCTCCGTGCGACTCCACATCTTGGCCACCTGGCGCGGGTACACAAAGTCCCGCCTCTGCGGCGTCTGACCTGAGGGGGTGTTGCGGGACGGACAGCGACGGGTGTCAGTCAAAGGACAATTGACGGCGATGGCTGCCATTTCGTGTGAATAAAAACAACCATCTAAACCAGACGCCTGATGAATGGCTCAACTGAATGTTTGTCGCAGGCCTGCTGAGCGCACAGAGCGTGTGAAATGTTTTACCGGTGGGCACGTCGTGGCGCAGCTCCTCCTGCAGGAAGTTTTGGACCAGCTGCTGACCGGCGTTCACCTGCTCGCGGATGTCCGCCTCCTGCCGGTCCAGGGTGGCGGCGTCCGAGGAGGTTTGGCTGCGCATCTTCTCCAGGGTCTGCTTCATCTCGTCCTGGTGGGCCCTTAGTGCCGCCTCCAACGTATGAAGCTGCTCGGTACCATACGTCTTCACGCTCTGGAGGAGAGAGAGAGAGACGAGGAAGCCCGTGTGCCGCCGAGACCCGTCGTGTCGTGGCCAATCGCAAATGCCTGGTCGCACCACATCATGACAAAATGCCGTTTGGCTCCTTGGCGTCAAAATGCCACTGAGGTACTACTTGCAGAAACGACATAGCTTTGGCTTGAGCACAAAAGTGTCCTCGCTGAAGGCCCACGTACTACTAAAGGCACCGCCTGTACCTCAACGAGGGTCTCCGCGTCGGCCGACTCCTCGGCCGCCAATGACAAATGCTCTTGGACTCGTTGGTCGGCGTGCCGCTCCAGTGCCGAGCGCCAATCCCGGTCTCGTTGAAGTAAACCTGCACACGCATGGAGCCCAGGGCCAAGTTGGAAATCAGCCACAGTGGCTATTTTCATATAGCGCACAATAGAGTGGACTCAAATGTCCACTAGAAATCGCATCGTATCGATTATGAAGGAGGAGGCAATGAGTGAATGGGTCTCATCATCGTCATCATTCAACTCTGACTGGGACACCAGAATAAGAGCAGACGCCTCGTACCCGACACGCTGCGCTGGAGGTGCTCACGGCAACCGTCGGCCTCCTGCTGAGCCTGCTGGCTCTCGTCCACGTGACGTCGCAGCGTTGAGGCCAGGGACGAGGAAGTGGAGCACAGCAGATCCGCCCGGGTGGACCCCCGACGTTCCAAGGACTCGCAGCCGCTGAGGAGCGCACGAGCCAAGGGGCCACGCGATCCAGCGGGTGTTTCGATTGCCAGGGGACAATGGGAAGAAGCAAGGACGGACGGGTTGTTGAAGCCGCGTGAGGTTTCGTTGCTCGACCCAACACACGATGACGGCGGAGTCACCTGCTGAGGTTGTCTCGAAGGCTATGAAGGGGCGTCTTCAGGACTCCGGAGAACGAGCACAGCTTCTCGTAGTCCTCGTGCGCCTCCGTGGACAGCAGGTTGAGCTGGTCCTGCAACATCTGGATAGTCTGCTTGGTTCTCTGGAGGAGGGGACAGGAAGTTCACAAGCTGGAAAGGGACAGCACTACCATCTATGGTTGCGCAGCTTGAAACTCGGAAACCTTAACTCAAACTTGAAAGCGAGATGTCAAATTCTCAATAGGACTTTGTCCAAATCTGTCATGTTTGTTGGCCAGCTAAGGCAAAGAGGCTCGCAAAGCACCCGTTACCTGCTGGTTACTCTCCTGAGCTTTTCGGATCTTCTCCTCCAGCTGGTCCCGTTGGTCCAGCAGGACGCTCACGTCCTGCACGGTGGCCTCTCGCAGAGCCGCCAGGTCTCCAACCAGGCCGCTGAAGAACTTGCCCGTCTCCTTCATGGCCTCCACCTGACACAGGGTCAGAACGAGTGCTGTGACAAGACGACATCAACAAACTTTGTTTCCTTTTTTTCCAAGCAGACTTGACAACCTTGTCGGCCAGGGCTCGCTGCGCCTCCGCGGTGGACCTGAGGGAGGCGCTCAGCTCTTGGAGCACTGAAAAACCCATCAGAGTCTGAACCTGGAGGACCTCTTCCATGTCTCGCTGGTGCTCTTCCTACGTACACGTGCAGCAAAAGGGAAAAAAATGAGAACAAAAGCAAAAAAAGGAAGCGAGAAAGAGAACAAGTTAAAGAGAGCAATCGAGACAAAAGAGAAGTGGAGAACAGAAGACCAGAGAAAGGAGAGAAAAAATATCTACATGACGCACATTTTGGGTTTTCCATCAATATTGATGTTTGATTGGTGCAATTGCTTCGACTGAGGTCTTCCGTTTGAAAATTATAATAGGTACTACGCAACTAAAATGTATTTCAAACAACCACCGCTATATACAAAGACAAGGAGCAAAAATGTTTCAGACAGTAGAAAGCACAAAAACAGTAAAACAAGACCTGAGGCACCGGGGAGGTGCGTATGGGCGGAGTAGCTCAGAGAAGTAAAGGTGGGCCCAGGCCATTTCAAGATTTGAAAACGAATAACAGGATCTTCAAAAGAACTCTAAAATGAGCCAATGAAGGGATAGCGGCATTTTGGACCAACTGGAGACGCCTGATGGAGGATTGGCTGACTCCAAAGCAAAGTGCATTACAGTAATCTAGCCGAGATGTGACGAAAGCCTGAATGATTGTTTCAAAGTCCTCTTGAAAAATCAAAAAACAAAGTGAAAAGAATCAAATTGGGGAATCCGAAATGGAGACCCAGCCTCCAATTTGTGTTTGTTCGATATACCGGTACTGTATTTTTATGACATGACAACAGGTGGCTCGTCGAAAAGCGGGTAACGGAAACGCGGCCTGTCTGTCCATTTTTGCTGCCCGCTGTGCTCACCAGAAGCTCCTTGATGGTCTCCTGGTCCCGCTGGCCGAGTTGGCAGTGGCGCCGCACGCGCTCCTGCCGGCGCGCCACGCCCTCGCCCAGCAGCCGCCCCACGCCGGCCACCAGGCCCTCCACGCCGCTCACAGCGCGGGCCAGCGCCGCCTCGCTGCCCGCCAGAACGCCGTCTACGACAGAGGTCACCGTGACGAGACACCCGGTGGGAAGCCCCCCCCAATCCACTCGATAAGCGCGTCTGCCACATTTTGTAGTGCTGCCGCCGCAACATCCCTTTGTAGTAATTTGTGGGTCTGATTCCAAATGCAGTTGCTGCATGAGGAATCATTAATTCATTCCCTGCTCCCGAGTCATTACAAGGGGCTTTGCAGTGGACTCCGCCATAATAAAGCCGCACGACTGGAAAATCTGCACATCGCGAGGAAGGAAGGCGAAAACGATTGCGAGTACGGTGTCTGTACCGACGGCCCGCGAATAGCTGCCGAGGACGTGTCGATGCTTGTCGCCTTGCTGTTGGACGCTGCGCTGCACGCTCCCCAAGGCCGCCGCCATGCGCTCGGCGAAGCTCTGCTGAGCTGACACGTTGTGCTGCTCCACCTGCACGCGCCGCAACACACATGACAAGCATGAAAAATGATCAACTTTAATCATCGGGTCCCAGATACAAGGTACCGCGAAGCAAATGTAACCTATCGAAAAAATGGAGCGTCCCCTGGGAAACAATTCGCCATCAAAAACCACGACCAAAAAAAATGTTTGGACACGAAGCACAGACAAGACAGTCAGTGAAGTGCTGTCGCTGAGGACGAAAAGCTGCAGCGAGTGTATTGAGATAAACGTAGTCAAGGGTGGGACTTGGCATATTTCACACGCACAGGAACTGATTTGTGACAATTTTTTTCACTTTATTATATTTTACACGGTCCCTATTTGATGACAACGAGACCGTTATTATCCCTTCTGTGATGCAAATGCAAAGTTTTAATAATAGTTTAATCAGCTTGTGGCCTTCTGATCAATTATTCTGCAGTTCCGTGACAAAGTGCTCTCAAACACACCTGACAGGCACAATTGCAAAATGACTCTTGTATCACCGACTGTTCATTCATGACCACAGCCTTAGGCTAAGTTTCTATTTGTTTGTGCGCTTTTAGATTTGAAACGTGTTGAAAGAAATGTTCTGGCTGAGACTCCGAGAAAAAAAAAACACTAACATATCAAAATGCGCGCGCCAAGAGAGCCCGCATGCTCAGGGAGAGTCTCAGCATTACCAGCTTCTTCCTGTCCAGCTTGGCGTGCAGACCCAAGACGTCGCTGGTGCTGGCGTCCGCCGTGTTCAGCAGCTGCAAATACAAACACATCGGTTTTAATCATTTATATTTTTTTAAAGAGTCCCACGAGGACAGCCACCGCTTAGTAAGTTGCTAATTAATTGCAGGTCCAATACTAAAAAGTAGCTTGTCGCCTGCCCGGGTGACCCCCCCCACGTATGAGGTCAGAGGTGGCACCTGCGTGGCGGCACTGTAGAGATTCTCCTGGGCTGTGCGCAATTCGCCACTGACGAACTCCTCCTCGGCCAGCTTGTCTTTGGTGGCCTCCAGGTCTCGGCTGGTTTCCTCCAGTCTATGCAGGTTGTCGAGCAGGTCGGAGGCGCACTGCTCCAGTTTACTTTTACTGTCCACAAACAGCTCGCTGACCTGCACGCACCGTCACATGATCGGCATTAGATCGGGACTCAACCTGCTTCGACAATTGTGCCTGCGCAATTTGCAGAAAGGCGCTTTCAAAAGCAGTTCGCATCACGACTGAACTTTTTTTTAATGTGTTGTACGGCATACATCTGATTTGGGGAGCGCATGTGCAACCCGGAGGTAAACTTTGCAGCGCCCGAGTACAAATGTTGGACGGGTTCATCGCGCAATTTGCAGAAAGGCGCTTTCAAAAGCAGTTCGGATTAATCTCGATGTAACTTTTTTTTAATGTGTTGTACGGCATACATCTGCTTTGGGGAGCGCATGTGCAACCCGCAGGAAAACTTTGCCTCCTGGAAGGCACAACTTTTCAGAACGCGCGGGGGTGCGCGCAGGCAGAATGACAGCACGTCGGCACATACGTGTAGTTCTCAGTTGACAAGTAGACGCCGTTTTTGTCCCTGGCGGCGGCGAGGTCTCGCTTGAGACGCTCAATCTCCTCCGTGTATTCCTGAGCGTGGACAAAAAGACAACGGGGCGTGTTGAGAGTCGCTCACTCGTTCCCCACGAGAATGTAGCAGAGAATGAGTGAATGACTCCAAATGCATTCATCATTTTCTCGTCCCCAAGCACTACATCGGGATGCAAGACTTCTGGTCTCCGAACTCTGTGATACCCCCTTTCCACACCCACCAAAAAAACTTGGGTGTTAATAACGTCGGTGGCCATCCTTGCCTTTATTGGACAAAAGTTGATCATAGGTTTGCACGAAATCCAGACTTTGTCGGGAGCAGAATGGCGGTCTGCCCGTTTGAAGACAACTTGTGTTCACCACAGCACTTCAGAAGGGCCAATTAACAGTGCGGTGTGTCGTTGGATCGGAATCCGGGCATGCGGCGCCGGTCTCACCTTGATGAGGGTCCTCTTTGTGAGCTTCTGGTTCACCTCGGGCTTGTTCATGATGTTCTTGGCCCTGCTGGCGTAATCCAGCGTGCTCAGCGTCTCCTGCACACAACGCAAAGGCATTGATGTCGTTTGAAATCAGAGGACACATGATGTACATTTGAAGGATTTTTTTTTTTTTTTTAAATACAGGGTGGGACAAACGCACCTCAAGGTTACTGGAGGACGGCGACACAGTGGCGATGATGGAGGTCTTTGTTCGCCCCCCCAGCGAGTCTTGCAGAATGCGCGTCAGCTTTGACTCTCTACAGGAAGTCGGTCAACAACCAAGTCACCTCCACCATCGACATCTATCATCGGCGTGTGTGTGTGTGGGGGCACCGCACCTGTACGGGACGTGAGGTCTCTTCTCCACGAGAGCCGTGATGACGCGGCCCAGCGTCAGGAGAGACTGGTTGATGTTTCCCGCCTCCCTCGCCCGTTTGTCCACCGCGCCGGAGCGCCCGATGTTCTCGCTCCCCGCCAGGTCCACCTAAACCCAACACAATCCCACAACGTAAAATGCCACCACTCAGTACTCCAAATGACAATTTTCCGACGAAGACCACCCCCCCGCCGAGTTTGGCCACTGGCAGATTTTTGCTGCCAGTTGAGGCAGAGCCGTCGCCCCAACTTGCTCTCACCGCACGGTCAGGATCACGTTGCAAAAGTTTGCTTTACCAGGTTGAGTTTGCCGATCTTGACCAGTTCCTCGCCATCCAACGTCATCTCCTTCATGTGGATGGTGACCGAGAAGACCGAATGCGAGCGGCTGTGCACAAATTCAAGAAAAGTGAAAGCCGCAAGTCTGCGCCAAAACTTTTCGGAATCAGAGACGGGGCGGGGCGCGCGTCCTACCTGGAGTAGGCGTTCATGAGCGTGGAGGCCGTCCTCCTCTTGGCAGATCCTCTCTCGAGGATCAGGTAGACCTCATCTTTGTTGTGGACCGTCACCTCCTCCAGACCTCTGACAACCATGCCGCGCTGCCGGCAACACAACAGCTTAGCACGCTGGCTGTGTTTTAAATACAAAACGTGCCATTTGTGCTTTCGGAGTGAGTTGGAGAGAAAGCCCCCGGTTAACAGGAGCGGCTGCGCAACGGTCTCATTGTGTTTCACTTTTACGTTTCTCCTGACATCCAATGAACAGCTGAAAAGCACACCGTGACCGTGGCTGTGCTTTGAAGAAGGTGAGGGCATAACGGCGAAGATCCCCCCCACATTGTGATTTTTGGGGGGGCCTACCCTCCGTTCTCTGGAAAAGGTACCTTGTTCCTTGGGTCGTCAAAGAGCTGCAGCCGCTCGGTGACGTCCTCACTTGGGCTGAGCAGGTCAAAGAGCTCTTCGTTGTAGATTTCCAACAACGAAACTTTGACTGAGAATTCGGTGCCGTTCTCGGACAGCTTCTCGAAGATCTGGTGGAGGGTTCTGGGAATGATCCCAGCCAGGGGGTCCTGCGAGCGTAACGAGAGCCAAGCGGTCGGGAAACGTTCGCGGGGGGCCATCAGCCAATGAGAGGTGCCGTCAAACTTGCCTCCTCCCAGGTGAACTGCTCGTCCGGACTTCGTTCTCCCTCCATAGTGAATGTCTTCCCCGTGCCTGTCTGCCCGTAACTGCAACGCATTAACCAAGAACAATGTTCAGCCCCTCCGGGAATTTGCGGTGTCTGGCAACAATTCAACCCCTCACTGAATTATGGAGGAGCTTGCAATTTCCGTAAATCATTGCAAACAAAATTATATAGATAATCGATCACAGAAAAAGCAATTAAACGTACAAAATCTACAGCCAATTTTAGAAAAGCGCTGCCGCAAAAGCAGGCATTTTGGGCAGCAATAATCTCAAACAAGCCAAGTAAGTGTACTGACGCAAATATGGTGCAGTTGTAACCCATGATGACCTCATCCAAGATGGGACACACAACGCTCCGATAGACATCAATCTGCTTGGCGGCGGGTCCAAACACCTGCGGGTTGCCAACAACAACAAGAGCACTAAAGCCCTGTCAGCAGAACGATGATATCGAGGAGATTGGAAATCAACTGACCATATCGAAGGTGTACGTCTTCCTGGACGCCTTGTCATTAACACCTGCCGTCCTCACCAGAACTTCCTTCCTGTTCGGATCGCAGTCAATCACGTTGTGTGATGACTTGCGCTCCATCGTGTTGAAAGGTCTGTCGGGGAACAAAATGCATACAAACTGTTCAAAAATTTTCAGCTACCTTAAATCTTTGCATTGATAAATCTCAAATATTAGAACATCTATCTAGACATTGTTTTCTAATTGCCAGAGACTCGACTCCCCGCATGCACACAGAAGCAGAATGATGGACACTATTAAATAACGATGAGGATTACCTGATGATTGACACTTGGGAAAATAAGGAACGACGAAGATTACCTGCATCTGACGACCACTTGGATGTTTCTCCCCTTTTCGTCCCGTTTGACTGCACTCGGGTGATTTGAAGCCATGACTGCGGCGACACAAGACGACTTCGTGTTTCGTAGATATTTGGCCCGTGTAAAAAGACAAGTAAGCAGCGCCCCAAGCAGCAGACTGTCGTGGACTGCCTGGGTACCGCTCGCTGTGCTAACGGAACCCCCGTGAAGCTAGCGACAGTTAGCATCTCAGACAGCGCCAGCCCAGCCTGAAACAAACGAGCTGCAAACTTACCGAAGGCCTTTCTCGAGTCATCCGCTGCGCCGCCTGTTGTGTTTATTTGTTGTCTGTGTGCGTTTTGTGGGCTTCGATCTCGTCCCTGACGCATACTACGGCAGACAAAACGGTGTGGCGCCCAAACGGCACCAAAGATTTCAAAGAGTAGTTTTTAAATTTCACTCAGCCAATCACAGAAGAGCACAAGCCTTTCTATTGGGCGAGGCGGACATGTGACTGCTCCCGCAGAGCATCATGGGAGTGTGAATCAATGTTTATCTCGCGACGTGGATTTTCTTCTTCTCTCATTCTAATAGCACTTATTTTTATATGATTAATATTATCATTATTATTACTTAGAACATTTTTGAATATTATTTTTGGCAGTTCTGTTGTGTTTTTAATCAACCAAATCCTTGATTTTAAATCATCACAGTAATAGTGCCCCCCCCCCAAAAAAAAACCAAAACAAACGAAAAAAAAAAAACGTGCATTAAAGGATACCCAAAGGATTACACACAGGAAGGCAATATAATTATAAAGCCATCCATCCGGAACAGAGAGCAGGTCCAGCTAGAAATTTAGCTTTGTCATTCGTATTAATACACGACACACGTATACAAATAATGGCCATATGAATCATAAAAATTATATACATGGAAAATAACACCTGTAATTTTAAATAAATACATAAAAACGTGTCTGTGGCTTGAACGCGTTTTTTACGTTGGCATTTTCACCAGCTTTACAAACTGTACTAATCCTGCATGACTGATCAATTTGCGAATGTTCATTCTGAAGATGCGTTGTTCATTTTCATTCAAATGATGAATAAACCCACCATTAGACACATGACTTCACACGGCAAAAAACAATTCAACTCAACTTCAGTTGTAGCGCTTGAACAACAATCACACCTAAGATCGAACATCAAGCTCAATAAATTCAGGAACAAATACACGTCAAGAAACATTTCTTCAAAATGCGGGAAAAAATACCTTGTAACTCACAAGATCATAGCCATAAATGAAAAATAATCTGACATTGCTTTTCAATGGAGATATAAATGTGATAAACCAAAACAAAAAGTGCCTACAAGCACGAAAAAAAAAATCTAGTTGCTCTGTACGTTGTTTGTGTGTCTCGGTGAGCGGTGGTAAGCACAAGTCCATCTGCTCAGGGGGTCCACCCACTCACTCGACCCCGCGAGATGCACTCTTCTTTTCTTTAACACCCGCACCCGCGCACATGCACGCGCGGTAAACTGCATATCTCTGATTTGTGTGCGTGTCCAGCCACGTGTCAAATGAACGACATCCTTTCTGAATCTCCGCTTGACCGGGCGACCGACAGCTGCGGCAGCATCTTGAAATGCTGTCGCCATGGATACAGCGGGCAACTCTTTTTCGTCATATACTTGAAATATTTGCTCCGTTTCAACAACTTCTACGCGACACTAGGCACACGCCCTGGTCAAGCAAGATAATACTCACTCACTTTTGATTGACACCCAACGGAGCTATTCGTGGAACGGTGTTGACTATCATCGCGCGCTTAGTTTTAGCCTCATATAGAGCGGTTTCGAATATTCTGAACAAAATCACCGACTCAGATCGAGTGACGTCATGAACTCGCTCTGACGAGCCGGTTGAGTCGAAGAAGGTGTGTCTTATGCCAGACTGTGGCAGGGTTTGGAATTTCGGGACCTGGATTTGACACCTGTGCTCATTGATCTTTTTTTTTCTTCTCCCCTGTCTGTACCAGTTACTCAGCATCACTGAATAATTATTTACTTCTACTCAAGGAATTATTTGGAGTACTTTTTACTTTTACTTGAATCTTATGATCCAAACGTAACAGTACTCTAACTTGAGTACAATCGTTGGCTACTCTCTGGAAAGATGGAGCGGTAGAGGGATACAATGTTGAGGACTAATAATGCTCCCCAGGTGGTGTAACAATCAAATCATGGACAGCTAATTGATTATCAAATGAATTGGTGACCGTCCTGATTATGGATGAAGTTGTTTTGAGACCTTGCCGAATGTAAAATTGTCAAAACCACGGCATTTCAGCCTCTCAACGTAAATCTTCTTCATGAAAGCAGACTGGTCATTTTTTGTCTTGAATTCAAATGGAACAATTACAAAGTTTCGAAAGCAACCCCCCCCAACCAAGCTAATAACATCATCAGAATCAATACATGTTTTTTTGTTTTTTTGTTTTTTTTTTACATTTGCTCCAGTGGCCATTTGAAATAAAAGAGGGGATGGAAATTACATTTTTGGGGGTGGGGGTGTGGTAAATTCGATTCCTAAATGACGCGAAAAACAGTCGACAGAAGAATTGATGATGTAAATAATGGTCGCAGCCTTCAATATCTCTCAAAAGGTCATTCCTCGACATGGAAGATGACTTGTGCGAGGCTCCATACAAAGTCACTCCATCTGATTCTCAGGACAATGGTATTGCTGGTAACCGCCCCCCCCCACCA